TCATGTCCTGTAATGCCCAGCAATTTGGGAGGCCAAGGCAGATGGATCACTTGAGATCAGTGGGTTCAGACTAGCCTGGCAACATGGTGAAAACCCTGTCTCTACGAAAAAATACAAAAAATTAGCCGGCGTGTGGTGATGCATGCCTATAATCCAGCTACCTCGCGAGGCTGAGGCAGGAGGAATCGCCTTGAACCAGGAGGCAGAGGTTGCAGTGAGCCGAGATCGCGCCACTGCACTCCAGCCTGGGCAACAGAGCAAGACTCTGTTCCAAAAAAAGAATAGAAATGAAATAGGAATAGAATAGAATAGTAGTAGAATAGAATAGAGAATTAGAATAGAGTAGAATACGAAGTGAATAGGAATAGAATAGAATAGAAGCAGCAGAACAGAATAGAATAGAATAGAACTAGGAACAGAATAGAACAGAATAGAAGTAGACCAGAATAAGAACAAACAGTTATAACGACGAATAGACAGAACGGAAACAGAACACGAAAGAAGCTAGAAGTAGGAATGAGAAGATAGATAGTAACATAGAAAGCGAGAACAGACAAATAGAATAGAACTAGAATAGCATGAGAATGAGAGTAGACAATATAAATTGCTCTTCTAAGGGTTCCTACCTCTAGACTTCGCCACCCCGTATCCTCCTGAGAGAGTGCTTTTCCAGGCTTGAAGCAAAAGATGGACCAAAACCCAGCCATGACAGTTCTGAAAATAAAAGGAGAATAAAGGATACTTAAATGGATTAAGGCACGTGCTGATACCCTACTGCAATCAGGATAAGACCTGTTGATGCGTAGGTAGCAACAGCAGGTTATCAGTGGATTTCAAGTCACTCTCCAATATTACAGCAAGTAGATAAATGTTTTCAATGTAGTAATTTTTAGGCATGAGCCACCACGCCCGACTGTTTCTTGACCTTTTAATAATTGTCATTCTGACTGGCAAGCCTTGCTTTCTTAAACAAGTCAAAAATCTTCTAGCATGAAGCAGGAAAAGGATATACTAAAGTAAGTAATGGTAGTTCACATGAACAGAACTGAGTGGTTAGTTCAAATATTACCCTACTGCTCTCCATGAAGGTATTTTCTCTTAGCCCTTTAAATTCCTCTTCCTGGCTGGGTGCAGTGGCTCCCACCTGTAATCCCAGCAATTTGGGAGTTCGAGGTGGGTGGATCACTTGAGGTCAGTCATTCGAGACTAGCCTGGCTAACGTGGTGAAACCCTGTCTCTACAAAAAATACAAAGATTAGCTGGCCGTGGTGATGCATGCCTGTAATCCCAGCTACTCAGGAGGCTGAGGCAGGAGAATCACTTGAACCCGGGAGGCAGAGGTTGCAGTGAGCTGAGATTGCCTACTTTTTTATGCTTCTGGGCTTCTGTTCCTTTAGTGGTAGTAGTGCAGGTGATCAGGTTTTCAGTTCTCAGAAGATTGTATAAGACAGTCCCACAGGCTTTAGGTTTTTACCCTGTGCTGCCCAAACCCACAGTAAATACTATAAAAGAAAGCATAATTTTTATCCCCAATAGATAAATGATAACTTTTTAAAATTAACTATTGAAAACATTTATCTATTGCTGTAATATTGGAGATGACTTGAAATATGATAACCTGCTTGTTGTAGCTACATCAACAGGTCTTATCCTGATTGCATAGGGTATCAGCACGTGCTTAATCATTTAAGTATCTTATTCTCCTTTTATTTCAGAACTGTCATGCTGGGTTTTTCCATTTTTGCTTCAGCCCTGGAAACAGTCTCTCAGGAGGATAGGGGTGGGAAGTTAGAGTTAGGAACCTTAGAAGAGGAATTTATTTGTCTATTCTATTCTATTCTATTCTATTCTATTCTATCAGGTGCAAGGCCACGTGTGGTGACTCACACCTGTAATCCCAGCACTTTGGGAGGCTGAGGCGGGCAAATCACCTGAGGTCACGAGTTCCAGACCAGCCTGGTCAACATGGTAAAACCCCATCTCTACTAAAAATATAAAAATTAGCTGGGTGTGGTGGCACGTGCCTGTAATCCCGGCTACTTGGGAGGCTGAGGCAGGAGAAACGCTTGAACCTGGGAGGCAGAGGTGGCACTGAGCTGAGATTGTGCCACTGCACTCCAGCCTGGGTGACAGTGAAACTGCCTCTCAAAAAATAATAATAGGCCGGATGTGGTGGCTCACACCAGTAATCCCAGCACTTTGGGAGGCCAGGGCGGTCAGATCACGAGGTCAGGAGTTTGAGACCAGCCTGACCAACATGGTGAAACCTCGTCTCTACTAAAAATATAAAAATTAGCCAGGCATGGTAGCACACGCCTGTAATCCCAGCTACTCAGGAGGCTGAGGCAGGAGAATCGCTTGAACCCAGGAGGCAGAATTTGCAATGAGCCAATATCACGCCACTGCACTCCGTCCTGGGAGACAGAGACGCCGTCTCAAAAAAGAAAGAAAGAAAAAAAACAACAATAATAATAATTATAGGTCGGGCGCAGTGGCTCGCGCCTGTAATCCCAGCACTTTGGGATGTTGAAGCGGGCATATTACCTGAGGTCAGGAGTTCGAGACCACCCTGGCCAACATAGCAAAACCCTGTCTCTACTAAAAATGCAAAAAAATTAGTCGGACGTGTTGGCAGGTGCCTGTAATCCCCACTACTTGGGAGGCTGAGGCAGGAGAATCGCTTGAACCTGGGAGGCAGAGGTTGCAGTGAGGCAAGACCGGGCTCCATTGCCACTCCAGGCTGGCAACCATGAACGGAAAATCCATCTCAAAAAAAAAAAAATAATAATAATAACTTAAATACAACCTACGTTGCAGGGCTATGTTTTCCATTACCACTTTTTTATCTTCTGGCTTCTGTTCCTTTGTGGTAGTAGTGGCAGGTGATCAGGGTTTTCAGTCTCCTGTGTGCGCGTGTGG